TATAGGAAAAATGAGGTGAGTGTGATGATAGTTGGTTGGTAGTTGAATAATTTAATTAATTGTGGTTGATAGGTAGTAGAGTAATTTAATTAGAGTTGATAGGTAGTAGAGTAATTTAATGAAAGTTGGATAAATATAAATTTGTAATTTATTGAGAATATTGTAAATTACACGGTTTTGTACACAATGATAAAACTTCATCGGCTGATCTACTGAATCTGACATATAACTCAAATGGTGTTTTATTAACACCAATTCGAAAATCCTCAAACATGTTAAATACATCTGTATTTGTAACTAACTTTGTAATATGCTGCATCAAGACTCCATTTTCGTTGATTGTAGCCCGGTTGAAAGATATCTTTATAATGCTCCTGTTAATATTTGTGACTTGACGTAATTGATTTTTCAAGTGAATTAGTTTAGATCTTTCCATAAGTCGTACAACCAAAGGATTAGAAAATGCATTTCTATAATCAAACATAACAACCTGTGAATTATACGGAATAATGTATACTGAGCAAAGTATCCAACTCATTTTAATCTGAAAACAGAATCATTTAATGTTGCATTTATATGCATGGCACGTATGACTTCACGCCAGACTGCTAGGCTTCACACCATTTGAATTGGCGCAACCCAAGGGTTCACGCCATTTGACTTGGAGCAACTATGGTATTCACGCCATTTAAATTGGCGCATGCGAGGTATTCACGCCATTTGAAATGGCGACTACAAGGGCTCACGCCATTTGAGATGGCGCGAGTGTACATAGACCAAGGCTTCACGCCATTTGACTTGGCGACAACACAATAAATCCAACAAATTGTTGTTTGTTTATTAATACATGCATGAAATACAATTCAACATAGTTGTATCTTATTCAAACATAGTTGTCTCTTATTCAAACAATTGAATATTACATCAAACACAATGCCACAAAATCATATTTCTCGTCTCTTACATTTCAATGGTAATATTTTTACCGACGAAAATATTGGAGTGGTATTTCAAAATACGGATACACATATTTTAAATATTCATCGAAAAAGTGATTTAGCTCACTTGACGAAAAAAATAGAAGAAACTTTACAACAACATGTAACTTCTATTTTTTATCGATTTCCAATAGTTAATCCAGTTGATCATAATGTCACATACAACACTGTAAAAATCGAAGACGATGAAGATGTCCATTCAATGCTTTAATGCCACTCAAGGTTTTGCAGTCAACAAACAATGGAGTTGTATATTTGTTTTCAACAAATGCATGAAGTATTTCCAACACAATCATCACAAACTCATGCATATCAATAAAGTCAGGTCTCCCAACAAGAAGAGTCTATCCAAGCACAACATAACGAGCCAATATTTTTGGAAGAGGAAGTGGGTGATGATACTGACTCCGATGATGCCAGACAAATTAATTTGTTTAGTGGGTCCAGTGACGAGTCAGGTGACGATGACAGACTGGAGGCAGAACCGACTCCTATACTTGATCTATACAACCCACCCTATCACTTAAGAAATGTTTCATTTGAATGTGTGGAACCAATTTCAGTCTTCGAACCCGTACACGAACGTGAGTCACGTGATGACTTAAAGGTTGGTATGACGTTTGAAAACAAAGAAGCATGTCTCCATGCAATATCTGAGCATCACATAAAAAATTATCATACTTTTAAGGTTTGTAAGTCTGATCTGACATGATATTTAATTAAATGTAAAAAGGAGGAATGCAACTTCACATGTAGGGCTTCGTTAAGGGAGGGGTGTGGTAAATGGGTTATTGGCAGAATTGAAGGGCCACACACTTGCATGTCGACTGCTATATCTCAAGATCACTAAAAGCTTACCTCAAAGATGATCGCCCATAACATCAGATCTCTTGTTGACAGTGACGCGACAATCAAGGTTAGACATATTGTTGCTCATATTCGTACGACTTATGGCTACACTGTATCTTACAAAAAGGCATGGATTGCAAAGAACAAAGCAATCAAAGATATTTATGGCAATTGGGAGGCCTCTTACAACAACCTTCCGCAGTGGTTGCTAGTCATGCAACAATTTCTCCCAGGTACCGTCATAGATCTTGAAACACTTCCTGTATATTCAAATGAAGGAACACAAATTGGTGGTGCAAGAATTTTCCATCGCCTTTTTTTGGGCATTTCAACCTTGTATTAGGGGTTTCGCACATTGTAAACCTATAGTGCAGGTAGATGGTACATGGCTGTATGGAAAATATAGGGGAACATTGCTCCTGGCTGTTGCACAAGATGGGAATGGTAACATTTTCCCAATCGCATATGCATTGGTCGAAGGTGAGACCGGGGGGCTTGGAGTTTCTTTCTGAAAATTTTGAGACTCCACGTCACACCCCAATCAGACTTATATTTGATATATGATCGACATGAGTCCATTAAGAGTGCCTATAATAACCCGGATAATGGCTGGCAGAACCCGCCCTCGGTGCATGTGTATTGCATTAGGCACATCGCACAAAACTTCATGCGAGCCATCAAGGACAAAAACCTTCACAAGACAGTTGTTAACATGGGTAATTACTCTCTAATTTTTAACACGACATTTCAATATATAGTTCTTTTATATTAATGTTTTAATGCTTTTACGCAGGGTATGCAATTAATGAGTCTACATACGCATATTATCGGGAGGAGATCCGCCAAACAAACACAGAGGCTTTTAATTGGATAGAGAACCTTCCAAGAGAAAAATGGTCGCGAGCTTACGACGGAGGAGCACGATGGGGTCACATGACAACCAACCTAGCTGAATCTTTGAACTCAGTATTGAAGGAAACCCGAAACCTACCTATTACATCACTTGTAAGATCAACATACTACAGGATGGGAACATTGTGGGGTAAGCGAGGAAAGGATTGGACAAAAAATTTGTCATCAGAAAAGGAGTTCACAGATAACTGCATGAAAGGACTTGCAGAAGAAGTAGAAAAGTCCCAGAATTATAATGTCTTGGCTTTTGACCGTGAAAGTCACTATTTTGTGGTTCAAGAGACGGTTAATAATAGAAATTATCAGCCACTTACGCATTTCAACGTCAACCTCCAAACACGAACTTCTGACTGTGGGAGATTTCAAACTTTTCATCTGCCTTGCTCACATGCTATCGCAGCGTGTTCTCACATTAACCACGACTATACTACGTTTATTCCTGACTTGTATAGAGTTATAAACGTCTTCAAAATTTACATACAAAGTTTCCTCGGTGTTCCCCAAGAAGATAGTTGGCCTCCATATTTAGACGATACTCTTTTGCATGATGAAAGGATGTGACGAAACAAAAAAGGTCTCCCAAATAGTACTCGCATTAGAACTGAAATGGACACTGTTGAAAAAATAAAAAGACGATGCGATATCTGTCAACAATCTCATATGCAGAAAAAATGTCTGCATCGCCTCAACAATGCAGGCGCTTCTAACTAGTTTTATATATATATTGTTATTCATAACTACTTTTAACTGTATTTTTTTATTTAGCATTTTGATTGTAATTGTGATATTTTATTATTTAATAATTTTTTTTATTATTATATTGTAATTGTTAAATATTTATTTGAAGTTTTTAAATTAATATTTTATTAATTAATTTTATAACTAAATAATTTATTAAAGTATTTGTAATTAATAAAAAAATTAAATAATTAAAATAATCAAAATAAATAACAAAAATGTAAGAAAACGAAAAAAATAAAATAAAAAGGCCTTTCACGCCATTTGATTTGGCGTGAGCCCATGCTGCTCATATTCGCGCCATTTCAAATGGCGTGAACCCCCTGGATGTGACATCCTCCTGAGAAATTATTTTCAGACGGTGGCATTTTCAAAATTTTTTTTGTGGGAGTGACATATGGGGAAAAAATTCCCAATTTGTTAGTTTCTCAACTTTCTCAATTTCAATTTACGTGGATGGCCTGAAAAATCACCTCAATTGTTTATTCTATTCTAAAATTAAACAATGACGGTTTCTTCTTTTCCTTCTTCTAAAATCAAGCATCGACAGTTTCTTCTTTTTATTCTTCCATCTCCTTTTCATTAACTGTTTCACTTCCAATAACGAAAACGGTTCCTCCCTCATTACACTACAATCGTTTCAACTTCCATGTTTTTTCTGCATCTCTCTCTTTCTTCTTCCAGGTTATTCTTTGAAAAATCACTCTCATCTCTCTTGCAAACAAAAAATCAAAAGAATAGTTCAAAGTGAAATCAAGAAAGGGTTTCATGAATCAATTGGAATGGTGAAGACAATGTCGACTATGACGATTTCAGTGATTTTACGATGATGTGCGGTATCATGATGGTAGATCAGTGGGTTGATTCAGATTAGGGATCTCAAAATTAAGGATGATGTGTTTCTGGATTCAGATTAAGGATCTCAAAACTATTTTTTCAATGTCTAATTATGTTGTTGTTGTTTTTCAATGTCCTAGGTTTCCGACATTGAATCCACTATAGCGACTAGAAAATGCTCAATGTATAGGTCAAAGGTTTGTTTCGTTGCGTTGTGTACACGTCATTTTTCGTATTGGTGTTTGTATTTATTATTTAAAGTGAAGATTTTTCTGGAATTATATATTTTGGCCAATTTGGTACAACAAGGATATAGTTTGCGATAAAGTTTCTGCAATTCTTATATTATCGTATTTCTTAACTTTGACGTCGATTTATTCTGTTGTTCTCGAGAGCTGGATCCAAAAGGGAGAATTCCAATTTGGGAGAAAGCAAGTGTTCAGAAAATGAAAGATAAGTTTTCTGCAGTAGGTTATGATTGACATCATTGCGTGTTACTAATTATTTTCTCTCTATTTGGCTTTGGCTTTGGCTACCTTGATGTTTTGTCTGCATTCATAGGTCCTGATTAGGATGCAACAGAAGCCTTATTAGCATCTGATTCGGACATTGCTCCATAGGTCCAAAAATACCGACGGAGCCGCGGAACTGTGTCGTGAACAGATTATGAGGTAACTTTGTTTATCTATGTATCTATCTCAACCTAAATGAAGTAAAACAGTTGTTGAGACTTATGGTTGGTATCTTTTTCAGGTTGATCTGACTTATGTAAATAGTTAATCAATAGAAACTTTTGTCTTACCAATTGTCTTAAGAGACTGGTATCTTGGCCCTGACTTCTATCAATCTGTGAAAATTGGCATCGTTCAATATGTATGTTAGATTTTGGTGATTTTTACTTTAGTTCCACTGCTCTCTCTTTTTGGGAAAGTGGAATCCATGTTTTTCTTATTGTTAAGGTTGACTAAAACCTCATTCCAGATGATACTGAAAATGATCTGTGCAATGCTGGTAGTGATCCTCCAGACTTTTGGGGTTTGTGGAGAGAGGCAGTTTGAATGGAGACATGGGTTAGACTATTGAAATCAGTACATATATTATTATTTCCACTTTTCTATTATAGTATCAATATTTCTCATGGAGATTATACTACCATAATCCTAATTCTCTTTGGTGTTTGCAAGTATCCCTACTAGGAAGTATTCTTAATTTGAGTCAGACTTGGGCCATGTATTGCCTTGTGCAATTCTATTTTGCCATTAAAGATAAATTGGAGCCAATCAAACCATTAGCCAAATTTTAAACATTTAAATCAATAGTCTTTCTAACATGGTGGCAAGGAGTGGTTGTCGCATTTCTTTTCTCTATGGGAGCATTTAAGGGGTCGCTTGCTCAAGAGCTGAAAAATATAAGACTACATCATCTGTATAGAGGTATGTTATTTGTGTTTTCTTATTACTCTTTATTAATATATAACTAATGCAGGCCAATAGTTCAACCTATTCATAAAAACTTTTTGATGATTGTGCTTGTCGCTTATTAATACTACATTAGTAAGAAACGCACATATAGTATCTACATGAGGTCAAGAGACTGTGAGGTTGAGAGAGATAAATGCGCTTGGCTACAGTCTCTAGATTTGTCCATAACTTCCATAACTGAATTATGGTGTAATGAATTTTGATTCTGGTAATGTGTCTGACTTGGTTTTTAAATTTTGTAGCCTACTATTCCAGTTACAAATTTCATAATAACTATTCATCGCATACGAAAATGGTAAATCATAAGCTTCAAATTACCTTAACAAAAATGGCGAGGTCGAGCTCAATCAGTGGTAGCGCATAGGTACCGTGCCTTCAAATTATGTTGTTGGTGTATTTGTTCTTCGGCGGATGTTTTGGGAGGCTTGGGCAACCAAAGCTTCAGAAAAGAAGGCTGAATTTAATAATTTTCTTGAGGTGAAGTTTAAAGGATGAAATTTAATAGCATCATAAGATCATGTAGTGTGTTAAGAAATGCATCTCCTAAGATAAGATCAGTTTTAGCTGCAAACATGTTTGGTAGTTGCTTGCAGCTATATTGAGAGCATGAAATTAGAAATGATATGCATGAGTTTTTTTTAGAATTTCATGATTAAACATGTTTGGAAGGAAAGTGTTTGAAACATTCATATGTCATGATTATGATGCAATAGAAGCCTTTTTAAAAAAAATCTATTTAGGTCAATTTATGATTTTTATCACTTTTTCCCTCTTCGGGTTTCCTGATTGTAATTGTAATGTTCATGTTTTAAATTATATAATTTTTGAAATCCAAGAGCAAAGCAAGTTGATCTGTCCAAAAGGTTTAGGTTGAGGTATTTCTTATTATTATTAATTAATAATTGATTTTATATCAGGTTAAACAAGTGAACTCTAGATTGGGGGTTTTTGATATTGTGCTGGTCGTGGTATTTGTTTTTTTCCTTCCAAACTGAGCCTTAACTGCGTCTTGTGTGTATAATTTAACACTATGAATACAGAATTTGAAATTTGAAGTTTCATTTCTAATTTGAATTTTCATTTGCCAGACAAGGAATCTGCTCTGAATCGCCATTTTCAACATCAGTTATATCAGAGGACTATTTCCTGAGAAGTACTTCAATGACAAGCCTGTTCCGGCGTTAGGTACTCCAGTCATCTGCATTCCTTTTACCGTTTACTCAGAATATTCTAATATTTTTCATTGACTTATGGATGCATTTATTTCAAATTGTACTCATTAAATAATTCATTTCAACTTTGTATTCACATACAAACACACAAGGCTTCCATTTCCGGATGACCATTACAGAGCATTATATGCAGAGAATAGTCTGTGGTGATTGGTGATCAACACTGTTGGGATTCTGGGACATGGATCCAAGCTTTATGATAACTCTTCTATGGAAAATCTTTTGAAGAGTATTGAAAGCATCCAAAGGTATCATGCCTCACAGTTCGACTCGACAAAGGTCAGCTTGAAGGCTATTGGGGATGTTATTTCTATTAACACGGTCTTTTTGAAAGCTGGAACTCCATCACCAACAATAAGTCTATCAACTCAAATATTCCATCAAAGTGATCAAACATGTATTGTATAATGTAAAAATTTATATTATAGCTGTATCTTGTTATGCCACAATCTTTGATATTGCAAACAAGTGCAAATTGAATTGTGTTGCAATTGAGGTGACCACTCTAAAGCTTTGATGTTGCGGCGATAATCATGGATGTGGACAATAATTTTAAACTTTATGTTGTGCTTACCTTTGAAATGAAACTTCATATCACATGTTTTTATTGCGGTGTTGTTTCTATACTTTGCTCTGTCTTGGTTGTAGTTGCACCTTCACCCAGTTCATGCAGTTGCACCTCTCACTGTGGATTATGAGTTTCAAAGCCATGCATGGATGACAGAATATGAGAAGGAACAGATATGTAGGCTGATGTATATTGTTATCTAAAGATTTACATTTTTGAAAGTTTATGTGTCATTCATTTTGTTTAAAATCAATATGTAAAGTTGAAATTAGGATTCAAAGTGGTTAAATATTCATGTCCTAGATTCAAAGTTGGAAACTAGGATTCAAAGTGGTTAAACATTCATGTCCTAGATTCAAAGTTGGAAACTGGGATTGAGCATCAGGAGCTTGTGAGTAAGATATGAAAACTAAGCATATACTCTTTAATCATTTCCGCTTCTTCTTATTACACTCTTGACTCATCAGAAATATTTATAATCTTGCAAATGTCTGACTTTGGGAGAATGCTTACGCACAATAACAAAATATGACATGTCTACATATATATCGAAAGTCTACCATTGTAAAGCAGGTGTTTGGACATTTTCTTTGGTTCTAGTATCTTTTGTTTGAGAAAAACTAACCAAAAATGTAGAATGTGTCAAATTTCAACTGGCAAGCACTTCTGTTATGTGAGCCATTTATAGATAATTGGTGAATATTAGATGTTGGAGTTCTCCTACCTTTTATGTTTTAAACTAAAACTTTAATTTTAATTTCATGAAAGATGTTTAGATCCCACTTTGATATGGTAATAATGACTTGCACAATCCTTCACCAAGGACATTGAATAATAGACAGATTTATAAACTCTAAATAGCTACCATACGAGGTATGTGTAAAATATCTCTAGTTCAGCTAGACTTGAGAGGACATTGAACATCTATGCTATTATGCCGTCTATTATGCTTTTTATCAAAAGACCTCTTGGGTGATTTCGAAGCATGTGTTGAAACTGTCATACCATTAACTTCAACTTTTTTATCTACAAAGTAAATACTTCAAGACAGAAACAAAATAATAAAATTACAGAGATTTTTTTTAAAAGTTCTCTTTTTAATTGACCTTAAATTATCACTTGCTAAAAGATGAAGAGATAAAAAAATTAGGTTTGTTTTTTTGGGAGAGGTTGCCAAAGAAGTTTGAAGTTCACTTCTTTCCTGTAATTAATATTAACAACTTTTTTATACCAATAATATATATCTATTAAATACAATTTAAAATTGATTGAATATGTTAAAAAAGAATAATTGAATTTAATATATATTATTTATGAGCCATTAAAAATATATTTTTTAATAAATTTAATATTGTTTAATTATAAATTTACACATAATTAATTAGTGGTAGGATTGTAAATTGATAATTTTTAAAGAAGATTGAATTGTTTGAGTTTGAAACAATCATTAAAAGTATTTATATTACACATTGAAGCTCTAACTATTTAAACTTAATTTGGAAATTTAATAGTAATATTTGAAGCTAACTTTTTTTTTTTGGTAAGTATTGGAATATTAATTTGCGATAACAATTTTTTTAAGTAATAACAAAAACATGAAATTAGGGAATATGAAGTTACTAATATAAATATTGAATATTAACGAGAACACGAAGTTAATGATTAAAATATTGAGTATTAACAGGAACATTAAATTATTGGTCAATATATTGAATATTAACGGGAACATGAAGTTACTAGTCAAAATATTGAATATTAACGGAAACATGAAGTTACTGATCAAAATATTGAATATTAACAGAAATATTAAGTTACTGATCAAAATATTAAACATTAACGGGAATATGAAATTACTGATTAAATTATTGAATATTAACGGAAACATGAAGTTACTGATCAAAATATTGAATATTAATAGAACAACTTTACTATTGGTTTAAATATTTTTTACAACAATTCCAAAACAAAAATAACATTTATATAAAAATATATATATTATTCTTTCAAATATTTTTATATATTAGAAGAATTATAGGCACCGACTTATTATCTTTTTAAAAAAAAAATATTTTATTTTTATTATATTTTAGGAACAAATACGCGTACCATACAGATACTCGTGCGTTCGCACAAGTATCCCACTAGTTATCTTATAAAATACTTTTCAATATATTAAATTAAAAATTAATGATCTAAAGAAATTTCAATAATATTATAAATAATATTAAAAGACTTTAGTAGATAATCATGACTACGAAACCTAAATTATGATAAACTCAAATTATTTATATTTTCAATCAATTTAATGGTTATTTCATTTCGAACTTTGTCCATATAGTCTCCATCTTTCACTCTTCTTGGGTTATATGAACCTAAATCTTCAATAATATTTCTTTCTTTTATGCTTCCAGTCATATATCCAAAAATATAATCACAATTGTTAAAATCTTCATCTGTAATGCCGCATATTCGAATAAAGTTCTGAAGTGCCATTGTTGCAACAATGATTTTTTGTTGTTTTATTAGTGAAAATAGTCTCATATCACATAAAATGTGCCATTTTTTCTTCCAAACACCAATTATTCGTTCAATGACATTTCTTAGTGATGAATGTGCGGGATTGAATACTTCTTGTACGTCTTCTGCCTGACCACCAGTTCTAAAATCTGGAATATGATATCTTTCACCTCTGTATGGTGATAGATACCCTTTCATATTTAGATAGCCAACATCAATTAGATAGTACTTTCCTAAAAAAATTAAACATTTTTGTGAGTTTATATGCAATTTAAAACTAATAAATATATTAATTCTATTAAAAATGAGATTATGATTACCTTCCGGTGGATGCAGAAATACATTTTTCATTTCTTTAATCGTAGATGAAAGGATACGTGTATCATGTGCAGTACCAGGCTAGCCAACAACAACAAAAGTAAATAACATTTCTAAGTTGCACACTGTGATACGGTGGAAGAACTGACTTGAGGGTTTTGCGTTTTATCGCAAATGTTGCGGTTAGCAAGAGTCGCCACCGACTTTTCTTTTATCCAAAAGGAAAGGTGAAAAAGCACAGGAAAGACCTTTGAGATTATTTCTTGAGTTCGGGGGGTAGATTATGAAAAGGGAAGGTATTAGCACCCTTTTTATCCATGGTTTTCCATGGGGTCTTAGTTACTTGCTAGATCACTTGTTTTTGTTTGAAATTGTGTTTCGTGTGGTTTTTGAAAGTATTTTGTAAAGAGGTCATTGTTTAGGCAATCTTTGTAATGATTCTTGTTCGTAAGAATGTATACAAATATGTTGATCTTTTGAAAATGTTTTCAAGTTTGTAAGATGTTTGAAAGTGTAGGTGATTATTTTTGAAAATAGCAAGGATGTTTGTTTTGAAATGGAGTAAGTAATTAGGAGCAATCTACCTACTTAAATGTCTTTCTTGTTCATTTTATTTTCCTTTGACATTGTTGTCTTACCATTGATTTGGTAAGCAACCCTATCTTTGGATGTAAACGGGACGGGCGTGGGTCATCGTATAACCATGATTAACAATGTTGCAAGGTATCTTAACATACTTTTTGAGGGACTAAGATCATTTGTAAGGCAACTTAGATAGCGTCATCGAGGGACTATGATCTTGTATTTGCTTGTTTTAGCTAAGATACCTTACATGTGTAATATGACCATTTTGTATAAGGCAACCAAGTGGAATAATCCTAGGGATGCTTGTGTGCAAGTGTATTGTTTTCATGTTTGTTTTTGTCTTGAATTAGGGTTTTCTAAGTATTGGTTTTAATCTTTCCATACAAACCCTAATTACTAGCATGTTATATAAAAGCGATAAATTGTGAAATATAAAGTTACTACGCTATTACAATATTTGTGGGGAAGGGGGTGTACAAATTCATGAATGGGGATTGCAAGAATTTAAACCTAATTAGTCTATTACAACCATAGTGAATTGATATCAATGTACAAGGAAATAAATAAATGCAAAGTACAAAATGAACAAATATACAAAAAATGCAAAATATAAAGAAAATGTGTCTTTGTTTGATTTTCATGAAAAAAAGGATTTTGTCTTAACCTAAGGAAATAATTAATTAAATTTGAATTTTATTAGGAAAAGATTTTAAATAAAACTCTAGTTCTATTAATTAATTAAAAGAAAATAAGTTTAAGAAAAGTATTTTTGGTATTTTTATCTTAAAAATAATTATAGCATTATAAAATATTTTTAGTCTTTTTTATATAAAAAATAATGCATTTTAAATGGTGTGAAAAATAAATAAATAAATAAAAACATAATATTAATTAAGTTTACAAGATTATTTAATAAAATAAATAAAGTATAATAAATAAAAATATTTTTTGTGAGAAAAAAAAAGTCAAAATATAAATCTATCATTTTTTGTATTTTTATGATTTTTTTAGTATTTAGAAAATATATTTAAGAAAATAAAAATGAAATAAAATTATTTAAAAAATAAACAAACTTGGGCCAGGGGTACCATTAGCCAATATGGAGGTCAGCTAGCAAAAACAAAAATAAGTCAGGCCCAAAGGGGCCCAGTGCCTGCCAAAAACAACAAAAATCAGAAAAGTAAAAATGTGAAAAATGAAAAGGGTACCACTAGGGCTCGAACCCAGGTCTCATAAGTTACAGGTGCGCGCTTCTACCACTGGGGTAGATATACATCTGTTAATACAAACAAAACAATAAATATGTAAGGCAAAATATGCCCTAAAGACTTCATCTTCAACCTCCAGCCAGACCATCTGTAACTTGCTCATTTCTCATAAAAAATAAAAACTGTAAACATGAAACTTGTAGCAAATTTTC